ACTGCCTATGTTCTGGGATACTCTATATCTGAACCCCTAAACAGTAAGCCATCCTCAGCTCAGGGAGCTTAGCGGCAGCTTTGAGAACCCTCACGGTATTAGCCCAGAGAGCCCACAGCCTTCAAGCCCCAATACACTGATAATACAGTGGCCTTAATGATTAAAATAGGGTTTGTTTTGATGGGTTGCTTGTAGCATAAAATACCCCCAACCCTAGTCTAATTATTAAGGCCCCTACATTACGCAAAACCCTGGGGATTCGCCAGCCAGTCTGCAGGACAATCCACACGGGCGATGTGGTCGCCTACTGCGGCCAGCCGCTGGAAACCACCGAGCTCTTGCGGCAAAGCGGCGTGAGGCGCCGGAAGGGTTACGATGACGGGAATACCTAGTGCATTTTTATAAGGTCTTACAAGGCTCGTAGCTTGCTGTTGTTGTGGCTTTGAGGGTTTGGGCTTCCAGGGTCAGGGTCGGCCTGGGAGCTGAAGACGAGGAGTATGGCACAGCTGCGTTGCATTTCAATGGGCTTACACGGAGGCTCCATGGTAGTTCCTTTTTGGGATTACCCTTATCGGATGCTAAATATGAGCCACAAAAAGGACTTACCATGGAGCCTATGGGTAGAGGCACCATGCTTCTCCGGAGCTGCAGGGACCCAATCCCTTCCGTTGTGACCCCTAGAGTTTGGCTGCTGTTCAGGTGTCTCATGGGGAACTGCGAGGCGACCTGCTGTGTGATGTTTTTGGTGTGTTGGTAAGCTGGGTCGAGGCATTTCTGAGTTTGGCTAAAGGAACTTGGGGGGGGGGTGAATCTTAAATATGCTAGCTAGAATATACCCACAGCCTGCTCTACAGTTGTCAAGGCCGCTATATTGGGCTTTGGCGTTGAGGGTTTGATGTTGAGGCTTCAGTGCATCGGGCTATAGTACCCTAAACCCTAAACCCTAAAACCCTAAAACCGAAAACCCTGGACCCTAAACCCTAAACCCCACTGAAACCCTACAGCCCGCCATCCCTCGAGCAACGCCCTGAACCCGACAAGCCGCTTGAACCCCAAACCCTTAGCCAAGCTTTGCATTTAGGGTTTTAGGGTTTAGGGTTTTAGAGTTTAGGGTTTTAGGGTTTAGGGTTTAGGGCTTAAGGCTTTAAACCCCTCCCCCAAAGCCGTTAGAGCCTTAAGCCCTGAGCCCGAAACCCTGAAGCCCTGTACCCGAGCCCTCGAACCCTGAAACCCTCAAGCCCGGAACTCTGTACATCCCCCAGAGAACCCAACATACCCCTTAATTCCGGAATATACACCGTAAAAAAAGGGTTCCTTAAAGGGATCTACAAGGGTCTCATAAGGGTTCTACAAGGCAATTAAGGATATATACCCTTAAATTATAGGAGCCTTAATATTATATGATTTATGAAGGTCATTTTCCTTAATTGAGGGGGTATTGGGTTCTCTGTGTCTCCTTACGCCCCGAGGCAGACCCTGAACTCCGAAGCTTCTGAAGCCCCGAGAAAGCCTTGCGGAAGCGCTTGCCCTCAACTCCTAAACCCAGTTATGAAGAGTCCTGTAGAACCCTTTCCAAAGCCCCTTTTTCCCCCTAAACCCCTAAGCCCTAAACCCTAAACCCTAAGGTATATTCCACCCCAATCTAGACCTCCGCCTGCTTCAGGAGAGCGTAGGGTTAGCCAAGAGCGATTGTGGCTGCGGCTTCCCCGAAGATAGCGCCTGCCTCTTGCCTCCATTGCGCAGGAGGTAGGGCTTTTTGGGTTCATTTAGGTCAGCTGAGTCAGCGTTGTTTAGGGAAATTTAAGGTTTAGGGGGTTTCGGGCCTCTTTGGTGCTGAGGGTCTCAAAAGGGGTTGGGGCTGGTTACTTGGGGGGTTTTGGTTTAATAGCTCTGACCGGGTCTAGCGTTGGGGGATTCCGAGTCCTGGTTTTGGGGGTTGGGGGCTTTGAGGCGTTTGTTCCGGAGTGTAACTTCGAGGGGTTTCGAGGTCTGTGAGTTTCTTGGACCAGGCTTGGGGATTTACGGAGCCGTTACGGGGTTTCGGGAGTAGAGTTTTGGCTTCGGGGTATCGGTTTTGCCTACTACTGCAGCATTGGGAGTCGCACACGAATGCCTCCCTGAGCATCTTCACAGCTGCGGTGAAAGTCTTTTGGTCTCTCCACAGGGGTCTTGTTAGAGGTGCACCGTTGACCCATCAGGATTCGTACGTCTAGGGCCTAAGTAGTTCCTTTTTGTGATATATATATATAGATAGATAGATAGATAGATAGATAGATAGAATCCTGTAAGGTAATCCCAAAAAGGAACTACTTAGGAGCCTATGGCTAGGGCCCCAACCCCCCAAAAAACCCTTGAAAGCCTCAGCCCACAAGAAAGACCCTCATCCCGAGAGCCGTGGATCCCGAAACCTTCCATCCCGGAGTCTGAAAAATCCGCCACACCACGCAAACCCTATAGCATCTCCTGAACCGTCAATCCCTAAGCCTCGAAGTCGTAGGCCCAGCCACTCTAAGTAAGTCTTAACCCTCTTAACCCCTAAACTTTATGAACCCTCTAAACCCTGTAAACCGCAGTGCCCCTTAAGCCCAAAACGCCCGAAGCGAACTTCGATTCCCCAGGCAACTCCTACAGCCTCAACTGGTACGCGCACGTGCAAGAGCAACTGAAGGGCCGAAAGGACATGGGCTTTTCCGAAAATTAGGGTACCCCCTTATTTTGGGGTCCTTATAATAAGGATCCTACTATTTAGGGCACTATATTAGGGTCCCCTATTTTCGGAATCACCCACATGGGTACCCACAGGGCCCGAAGTAGCTCCTTTTTGGGATTACAATATAGGATTCCAAATATAAACCATAAAAAGGGACTACTTAGGGGCCTATGGGTAGTTCTCTAAATTAGGGTCCCTTTTTCAGGGTTTCTTGGAGCGATGTTAGGGTTTTAATTTAATTTAGGGGTCCCTTGTTAGGGTCTCTTCGAAAAAGGGTGCCGTTGTATTTTAAAGACCTAAAAAGGGACCCTAATTGAGAGAACTACCCGTATCTTAAAGCAACAAGCAGTGCTAAGCAAAAGGGTTTAGGATTTTGGGGTTTGGGGACGTCGTTTATGCAGTATAAGGCTTTCATGTTTGGGCTTAGGGACAGTAGGTTCTGGTATGGACCGTCTTTGGAGTTTCGGGTTTTGACATCATGTGGTCTTGAGGGCTTACGTTGTGGCTCAGCGCTTTGACATATCTTGTTGACGAGGGGAGTTTTGTGGCTTCAGGAATGGTGCATGGCTTTAGGATTCAGGTCGACTTGTCTCTGATGCAGAGAAAGTTTGGAAACATTCTATGATAGATTCTATGGTCGCTTAAACCCTAAACCGTTTAGGGTCGCGCTCCCGATCTTCCCAATCCCTGCAGAAGCACCGTTGGTCACTTTGGTCTCTCCGAACAACTGATGGAGCATGTGCGGTGAGGGTTCGGGTCAGAGAATGATTACGAGAGCAGCTTCATGCAAGCTCAAGCCTTACCTCCTGAAAAAGGCTTAACATCACAGGCAAACCGAGCCGACATCCATTGCCGGGGAGCGTGTCTGCAGGACCTCGCCGACTGGATGGGTAGTTTACCCAGACAGTTGCGGCTGCAAGTAGCAGGCGGGACTCAGCATCCACGACAGGATTTAGGATTGCTCCGCTTTGGAAACGGGTGCCAGTTTGAGACATCTGAGACCTGTTGCATTCACGGCTTATGCATATTTTGAGCGTTGATGCACGTCTGTGACTTTGTACCCTTGTCGTTTTCACTTTAGCCATAGGCTCCATAGTAGTTCCTTTTTGCGGCTCATATTTAGGATCCTATAAGGTAATCCCAAAAAGGAACTACTAAGGAGCCTATGGGTAGCAGGCTGTTGCAACGGAGGCCTGATAGAATGTACTCGGGCTGCAGAGCCAATTGCTGCTGTTCGTTGAGTTTTCTGAAGTGTGGAAGTTGGCCAGCCTTCTCTCACACTGCAAAACTGCATCACCGAATGGGCCTACAGCCTGCGTTTGCCGTTTAGAACCCATTCCAAAGAATGATCACACGTTTCTCCGATGTGCGCATCCCGGGTGGGCACCGTTGGACATATGGGTTGGTCTGAACTTGATTCCAAGCCGGGTAGCTAGATAAAAAGGTTCTCCAAACACCATGTTGGTCCAACACTCGGAGCATCTTCTTGTTTGCAACTTCCTGTCACCGGCGCCTATCTAAAGGAAACCACTACTTTTCCGATTCTTGAAACTGAAGAAGTAGCAACATGCCTCAGCAGAAGTCTTGTCTGAAAAGGTACCCATTCATCATGAGGGCTCCGCTATTCTTGTTGGGTTCTTTTTGCAATTAAAGCTTACAAGCTACTAAGTTTCAATTCAGAAGATTTCGACTGGATGTTCTAAGGTTGTTGGGCCTCCTCCTTATTCTAGCCTTGCTCATAAAGCGTTCCCAACATCAGTGTGCCCAGCAAGTAGCTCTGGGGACAGTCCCACGGGAACAGAAATTGCCGTTGTTTCTTCTATCTCAGCTGCTTTATGATAAAGTTCCTGTTTAAGGTACACCCCCCCCCCCCGCCCCCCCGAAGAAAGGAATGTCATTGTAGGGTTCCTCCAAGCCATACACTCTAAACTGTTCTAGCCTTAACCCTAAACCCCAAACCCCTAAACCCCCAAACAAAGCCGCTGAACCCTAAACCCTGGGCCCACTAATCCAAAACCCTATTCCCACGAGGACGGCGCTTGGCCGTGGTGCATGGCAGCCCGCGAGGTTGGCTGTGGCTGTGCAGGGTTTACGGTGCAGGTCCACTAACTATTGGTCTTTAGGGTTTAGGGTTTAGGGTTTGGGGTTTAGGTTGGTCGTGAAAGCCATGCTCGCGAAGTCTCTTATCACGGCTTGAAGGAAAGCCTTTGCCTACCCATAGGCTCCTTAGTAGTTCCTTTTCGGGATTACCTTATAGGATCCTAAATATGAACCGCAAAAAGGAACTACTATGGAGCCTATGGGTAATGTATCCCTGAATCACACGCTTTGCCCAGGCATCAGCGAATTCGTGTGGCCCTCCAGCAGCGATAAGGATCTCACGACGGGCTGAGTTGACGTGAAGCTTTTTGTTGGCACTCTTGGTGCAGTTTGCCATGCTTCAGCCTGTGTTGATCTGGCGACAAAGGCCCTTCACGCTAACACTGTTCAACATCGAAGCAGATGCAGATTTGAATACATAGGTTTCATCATTCGTGTAGTTTGTGTTATACTAGCTTACCCATAGGCTCCTTAGTAGTTCCTTTTTGGGATTACCTTATAGGATCCTAAATATGAGCCGCAAAAAGGAACTACTATGGAGCCTATGGGTAGCTTAAGATCGAGCAGGAGCTGGCGACGATGATGGCCCCCTTAGCCGGGGCCGTCGACGGAGTTCTTTGTGGTTACTTGGCGCAAGTTTCAGTCTGGGATGGTTTGGAGTTTAGGTAGTGACAGTCTTCCGGGGGCTTCTCGTCGTTCTGCGACAGAAGAAGGGAGCTTGAGGAGAATTCTGCCTTCCAACAGCCGGACTTCTGTCACAACCGCGCCCGCAAGCAGCCATCTGCCTCCCAGAACATGCAACCCTAAACCCTAAGCCCAACCTTGAACTACCATGACGTTTTGTGTGTGCGGTCTTCCTACAAGCCCTAGCCTACGTAGCTAGTGTCGACTTTTGTAGGGACCCTGCAAAAAAATATGTTTGGTAATTCGGAGTAGTTAGGCCTAAAGCCCTGAAGAGTCTCACCCTCGCAGGTCACAGTGGCATTCCGTTTGCGCGCCTGATACCCGGCAGCGAGCAGGCCGCAAAGTGTCTCCGTAGACCCACAGTTATGCTAAGTCGCTTGTCAACAGTTTAAACCCTCAACGGTTTAGGGTTTAGGGTACCCTAAACCCAAGTTTAGTCTAAAGGTCTGTTTAAAGTCCGGCGGGACCACCTGGAATACACTTGGGTAAGCGGTTTTTTTAACCATCTGAGGAACCCTACTCGGTTCCTGGGGAAACAGCATTTTGAACAACTGCCTTTGTTGCAAGAAATCTTGAATCTCTTTGGTTGAGGGCCTGGGCCTCGCACTGAACAAGCACGCTGACAAAAGTGAACCGAAAATTTTAAAACCCTCCCCAAAGTCTCAATGGTAGTTCCGTTTTTTTGGTTTGACCAAGATCATATTCGGGATCCTATATCAGGTAGCCCAAAAAAGGCACTACAGTGGAGACATGCAGGGAGATACGAGACTCTGGCTGAATGCTGGAGTCATCGGCATGCCGGCGAACGACGGCACCCGGCGCGTTTGGTGCGCCCCCGTACTGGAGTCCGGCTTTGGGTTCAGGGTGGATTTTTCGAGCTTTCAGACAAAAGCCGCCAAATTTACCTCGAAAAGCCTGCAATGTTGAAAGCAGCGCAGCATAGAAATCGACGGCTAAACTGACTCAATCCTTCGGCCAGAGCAAGCTTTGCTTCGAATGCCCGGAAATTCTTTGAGCCAGGTACGCTCTCTTGGAGCCTTCTCAAGATGGCTTGAAGATCAGATGCTTGGCACGTAATCAGGATAGAAAATCAGAAAAGCTGGGAAGGTGCCTAAATGTAGTCGGGTCCTCCACAGGACCTTCACCACAAGAACCCCGTCGATCCGGGCTTCTGTTTCCTCACAGCAGGTTCCGCGCGAATTAAAACCCCCACGCGACATAGGGCGGCGGCGCCTCAATCCGGTTGAGCCCCAACGCCTGTAGATACCTGATCCCGAAACTCTCGTTGAATCCAGAGCTCTGTACTGCTTCCTCGGTGCCATCTGCAGGTTTGCGATCCTTCAACTATGATGCGGAAGGCCAGGGGTTCCTCTATCTGTTGGGATTTGTGCACTAAAACTCCAAGGGATTGTTAAATATACTATTTGCATTATGGTTCTAAGGGTGCTCATGGCTTAAGGTACAAGGCTGTGGGTCCTATATCGGGATGTCGAGTTTTATTGTCGGTGTTGAGAATTGGGATTTCGCAACAACACGTGGACCTACTTTACGTGGGAGCACTGGCAGTTTCCTACATTTTGCGTGGTCGGACGAATAAGGATCCCACTCCTGCGGGAGTTTCGGGAAACCCCAAACCCCCTGATAAACCCCCAAACCCCCTAAAACAGAAATCTCCTCAGACCTTAACCCCCTAAGCCCTCTAAGCCCCAACCCCCCTAAGTCCTAACCTTTATAGCCCCTAAGCCCTGTCTGCTGCTTCAGGAGCCGCCAATTCGATTCTCGCCCACACGAAGCTCGGTCCATACTGGCCAGACCCCATCTGTCCGAGGTGAACCACCAGAAAAAATCCCTGAAGCACCCCATGACAATACCAAGACTAGTCTTTAGTCTTTGGGGTTCTGAGTAGCATGGACATGTTGATTTGCAAGCGTTTGCCTATGATGATGATCCCATTTCCAATCATTACAGGCGCCTAAAGAACACCCAAACCCCGACTTAACTAATAAACCTACAAGCCCCAGAAGCCCTAAAAGAACGGGCCCTTGGAGGAAGGAGCAGCCTGCTAAAGAACCCTAAACCCTAAATCCTGAACTCAGGAACTTGGTGCGGGGATACGCTGACGCTCTGAAGACAGGCATTTGGCCGTCACACGACGCCTTGATGCAACGTCTCTTCATCTTTCGGGAGGATCCTATAAGGTAATCCCAAGAAGGAACTACTATGGAGCCTATGGGTTAAGGTTGAGTAGCTTCGAAATGCAGGGCCTCGGCTTGCTTGACTTGCATGTAACTGGTTCTCATGCTTCTCCCTCGAGCCTCCTGCAAAGTCTGAAACATTCGCTCGAATCATGCACGTCGTGATGCTGGGGTCGAAATTGCATGTCAAGGTGCGGGAAGATCCTTCATGGGGGGTGAGCATAGGGTTATATAGGGTTGGCCTGCGCAGCTCCTTATCAAGCGACAAGGAGTGACACCAACTGCAGAAGCAAGGAGTACCAGGCACCGTCAAGGAAGCCTAATCTCATTCCATGACAGGTTTACAGAACATCAAAACCCTAAACCCTGAACCCTAATCTCATTCCAGGACAGGTTTACAGAACAACATGTTTGAAAGCCTTGCAGGTTCAGGTTCGGCTATAACCGGTCTTCAAGACCCTAATAAACCCTAAACCTTAGGGTCTGTTCGGGTTGTCCACGGCCTTGACATCGGACATTCAGTTGGGGTCCCGTTTAAGGGTTCCTTATGTAAAGGGATCTATAAGGGTTTTCTACAATAAGGGTACTTATTATATGGGTTCTGCACGGTCGCTCTATCATGGAGCGGACCCTTTCATGTTTACATGAGCTTGTGTCATTTAATAGACACGATTTCTGCCAACCCCAATGGAACTGAGGACATTCTGCCGGTGGAGGAAGCAATGGCTTCAGGGGTGGCCATCCGAGACAAGGCGGGGATGCCTCCCTTTCTGGTTTTGGTAAGCTGCTACGCAGGAAGCAATGATCGAACATGCCTTCTCGACTTCTTGTGGTGCCTATGCCATTTGGCCGACGGCTCCTGCGTGAGTCGAAAATGACCTATGACTCCAAACCCTAAATGGGACTTTCCGAAAATTAGGGTACCTTATTTTGGGGTCCTTATAATACGGATCATACTATTTAGGGTACTAGAGGTTAGGGTCCCCTATTTTCGGAAACCCCCAAATGCTGAAAGCCAAAACTTCAAAATGCGAAAGCTCAACTGTATCCACGCCGCGACACAGGAGCACTTCTGGCCCAACCCTCCGACGAAGACCAGGAGTGTCAGACGGTGTTCCAGCCTGTGTAACTGTGTAGCTGTTGTGGCTAAAGGGCTATAATATTGCTGTTGATGATATGAATCCTGCATTACCCATAATAAGGAATGTACCATATTTCCCATAGTTTAGGGTCCTTAAGGTAATGCAGGATTTATATCATCAACAGTAGTTTGGGAGTCTATTGCTGTATGCCACATAGGGACTCGAAGCTGATGCTACGGCTCATCATAGGCTCCATAGTAGTTCCTTTTTGGGATTACCTGATAGGATCCTAATTACAAGCCACAAAAAGGAACTACAATGGAGCCTATGGCTAATCCTTCAGGCCCATTCATGTCATTCAGATGAGCCGAAGCCTCCACCGAAGGCCCCGACGACTGAACTGGGGAGCCTCGTCTTGAACCAAAGAACCCCCGGGCAGGCAATCCCGCGGAGTAAAATGCCATAAAGAAGGGAGGGTTCTGGGTAGTTCTCTAAATTAGGGTTCCTCTTTAGGTCCCCAAGATAGTACCCTTTTCACAAGGACCTTAAAAGGGACCCCAATTTAGAGAACTATACCCTACTGTGCTACAACTCTAGGAACCCTTATCCTTAACACTTAGGCAGAACGAACAAAGCACGCGCAGAAACCTAAACCCGAAGCCTAATTATTCAACAATGACGATATCTGTCTCGATCGAAACGTGTGTTGCCGTGCTCCCTTGAATTTGCGGATCCGCTGAACCCTATTATAACCTCCAAAGGTCTTGCCAGATTGTGGGAGCCCAGCAGCGGGAAGCAATCAATTCAGAAACCTCCAGCGCATGAATCACTTCAAAGACAACCCTAAAGTTCAACCCCTCAAAACCGTCTTTCAAAAATCAACCCTAAACCCTAAACTGAACCAGGACCCTCTGGCCCCTAGTGCTGGTAGCCTCTGGCCTCGCAGCGGTAGCCGCTGTGGCTCTGGCCCGGCGGAAGCAGTGACTGCAGGCGAAGTCGTCATCGTAGCCGGATTGGTAATGATTTAGGTTTAGGATTTAGGGTTTAGCGTTTAGGGTTCAGAGTGCCGTGGATTCGTGATGAGTATAGGCTCCAGGGTGGGTTGGTAGCGGTTGTCGTGCCGAGAAAGGTGTTTTTCCACGAGGGCCTTGTGCCAATACAGCGGGCCAGACACGTGTTGGGTATGACTGCAGCCAAATAGAAGATTTCTTGCAGACAAAGCATATCCTCTTCACAGTGCTGCGCCAGGTAGATAGCAGCACTGACACAAGAAACACATGTTGGCGCAACGGTCTAGCCGGCGCAATGCCATTGTCGAGCCAGCAAGAAATACCCAAGCCCTAAACGCAGACGTTCCTGCATAGTGGCGCCGCGCACAAGTCTCAACTCAGGGAAGCTTCGCCCTGCGCATTAGCAGGGCTTCGCCTTACCAGAGATGGCTTTAGAAGTGCTGCAGACAAGTCACACAAGTGATTAGCTCGAGTGCTGAGACTGCTGCCCAACATCCTAAAACCCCAAAACAGACTGTAGCGAGGGTCCCAAGCGACGCCATCAGCCAGAACAGCCCCAGTTGTTGAGACGAAGGGCGAACGCCTGCGACGACGAAGCTGATCCAGCTTCAGTCAGACCTGAGCGGGAGACTTCAAAAGAGTGGGAGCGTTGAGCCTTCGACAGGGTGGTATACTACAGGGGCCTAAATAATTACCTACACTATTTTGGCGGTTCCTTTTTATAGCTATCGTATAATAGACCCCAAAACCCTATTCTAGTTATTAAGGCCCCTATAATAGGGCCCTTAAGAGTGTTGAGGCTTAAGGGCGAAGAGATTGGGGGTCGAAGTCGAAGGCGAGACGACCTCCTCTTAGGTTTGTGATTGGGGCCGAGGTGAAGCCTGCAACTTGTTCTTTCTCTCCTGTTGTGATTTATCTTGGGTCTTGAAGGGTTGTTTAAAGGGCTTGTAGAGTTTATATAGGTTGAGATGACGTCGATTGTGGTTTCAAAATGCCCAAGACCCACCATGAGCAAGCGCGATGATGCAGACGAGCCATGCCCAACACACAGTTACAGCAGAATTGCTGTGAGACCCCAAACCTGACCCCACGACATCTCGAAGATATGAGACGGAATAGCTACTCTCTTTAGGGTTTTAATATATAAAAACTTTATAGGGTTTAGGGGTTTTAAACGGGTTGAAGGATGTTTCGGGGGTTTTGAGCCGAGCGCACATCTGACCCAGGCCGATCCTGGAGTAGATCCTGCGGGAGGTCGCGCCGGACATGTTTGGTGCAGAGTGGTGCTGCGGCAGCGGTGACTTAGGGTTTATAGGGTTTAGCGTTTGGGGTTTAGGGTTTAGAGCGCCGTTTCAGTTCAAGGCTTTTCGGTCTAGGGTCATCTATCCATGAGATTCAAAGGGTGTTGATGATGCTTCGGGTGGGCATGTGCTTGGCATGGAGCAAGATGGCGACTTGTTTTGCAGCATGGCATCATCCCAAGCTGTTTCAGCAGCATCCGAAAGGTCTGGGGCTATTCCATGTGGACCTTCGGTTCGGATTTATAGCTCCCATGGCCCAGGGGCCAAGGGTCCTGCAGGTAAAAGCCTGAGAGGAGCTAAGCCAGAACTGCGTTGCAGGGCGCTCTCATCTTTCCGGGTGCAGGGGCTGCTCGCATGCGCCTGAAGTGCTACCAGCCTCCAATGAGCTACTGGTCTGCCGCCCCTGGAGTCATTGCCATGCGGGGCGACTTTCAAATCGTAGGCTATGCTATCCTTTTCGCAGTTATGCATACCTGTCCCGGGAAGCGATCCAATTGTTTTTCGGTGCCAGTTGGGGGTTAAGGGTATGCCAGCACCGAATATAGTTTCAGTTTGTTGTGTTGTGGCTGGTTTGCTGTTGCGGTTTTTTGCGGGTGCTTGGGCAGTCAAAGACGATTCTGACTTCCTGCCTTGGAAGAGTGCGATGCGGTTCCTTGACCTGCAAGCGACATGCCGCGCGGCCGTGTTCCTTGCCAAGCTCAAAGAAGCTACACGCGCATTGTTTAAATATACAGAACTACAGTAGCACACGGGGCCTTGGCTTCAGTACGACAGCCTTCTGTAGGGGCCACCTAACAGCAAGCAGAGTGGGTGGAACGCCGTCACACTTGTGCAGATATGTCGAGCCTGCAGCCTACACGGATAGCCTTCTGCTCCAAGAGAAGATCGCAATTTCAGGCCCAGGCACCGCGCAGGGTTTCTAGGCTTTCAGCCTACACCCAAAAGCACAAGCAAGCAATTGCAACCAGACCTTTAAAAACAAGCTTAGTTAGTTTAGGCTCTGCAGCTTAGTTGGGCTATGTGTGACACTTAGAGTCTTAGAGGTTAGAGGTTTTGGATCTCTGGGGAGAGTTCATCAGGGGGGGTTCAGCCTCGTCGCCGATGGTATGCGCGGGGTCTGGGCCATTGCCCTGGTACTGGCGGCCGGGGAGCCGAGTTTTCGAGGGCTGAGGGCCCTAAACCCTATAAACCCTATAACCCCTATAAACACTAAATCCTATAAACCCTATAAACCCTAAACCTTATAAACCCTAAACTCTAAACGCTATAAGCCCCAAACCCTAAACCCTAAACGTTATAAACCCTAAACCCTATAACCCCTAAAGCCTGATCCCTAACATGGGACTTTGGGGTTAAGGGCTCTTTCCAGGTTTTGGTATCGAGGTTAAGGGTTAATGGGTGTGGGTTTTGAGGGTATCATTAGTTGTCCGAACCTCCTGCGGAAGGAAGATATGACTCTGACTACACTGGTTTGGTTAGGATGTGCGTGGCGCGAGGGTTCAGGTTTGGGTTCTCTTTGGGAGTGGCGAAATGCTTGGGATCGATGGCTTGGCCGATGAGTGGCCATGGTCCCACACTTCCTAAGGTTTAGGGTTTAGGGGTTATCCTGCGGCATAACGCATTGCTATGGGGCTTTAAATCAGTGACACCAAAACCACCATCAGAGGCCAGTTCATGATGTCAGTGACCTTCATCTGAAAATGACTTGCCCCAACATTATACCACGGCCAACATCAGTATCAGAATTCACCAGAACAATGCTTATTCTAGTAGTACAGTATAGGGTTGGCCTTGAGTTATTATTGCGACGAGTGTCGGAGCAATCGTCAGAACCTTTGGCTACAGTGTCCAATTCGAGGAGACCACTGGGAAATCAGCATATTCCATACCATGCCATCGCTGAAGCAAGCTCTTATCGAAGACCTACCAATACGCCTTTACTTCGAAACGCCGCGAGGCTGTTCTAAACCAGTTCAGCCAAGTATCTTTCAGCATTCACTTTGTCCCAGACCAGACCCCGCTTTGAAACCATACCCTGAAGTCGATGAGGTCTGCACCTGCGGGCTGAAACCTGTACAGTAAAGCCCAGAAGCTGTGGGTTGTAAACTAGACGTATAACGCCCAAGCCTGGGTTTTGGGGTTTAGGGTGTAGGGCTTTTGGTTTGGGGTTTAGAGACACCTAAGTCTCTGTGGCTTTGAGGCCTGTGTACACTGTACCGATGGCAGCTCTGTGTGGGCCTCTGAAACGGTGTTTAGCTCACGACGAAGCACCTCTTTTTGGGGTGTACCCGGGCTCCTGTATGTGTAGGTTTCTGGCCTTGCGTGGGTGTTGGGGCTATTGTTTTGCCTACTTTCTTGGGTTTGTGTAGGGTCGGGGATCTTGCGTTCTTGGGCTTCGGGTTGGAGATTACGGCTGGTTAAGCCCCAAATTCAGATAGACAGTAGTTGCTCGGTCTCGCCTCTCACACAGAAGCATCGGCATCAATGTTTCAAGAACGCCCCGCCTGCCCATAGTGAGGAATACGATTCTAGGCGGCTTTGCAAGGGTTTCAAAACCCGACGCCCTAAGCCCTATGACCTAAACCCCGTTCACGTTTTACCAAAGGATTCGTTGGATCCCCTGGGAGTTTTTTGGGGGTTTCCAGGGGTTGTTGTCAGCATCCCTGGCAGCAGACGCTACCGCGGCAGGTTGCTGTATCCCGCTTAACCCTATGGCTCAAAATAGCCCAAAAGCCTTATATAGTATGGTCTTTGGGCCCAAAAGCCTGAAAATAGGAGTCCTTAGAGCCTTAGGTTCAGTCTTCTGTCGTCAGGTTGTTTTTGAGGCTTTCGGCAGAAGCTTTGATCTGCAGCTCACCCTTTCCCCCTCAACTTCACGATTCAGGGTGTGGGGGCAATTCAGGGTTCCCTAGACCCTCAACCCTAAGCCTAAGCCCCAAGTTCAGGTTTCAGAAGTGTGCCTCCACTTCAAAGCCTCGCACGGCAGCCTCCGCCTGTAGCGATGCGAGGTCGAGGACGACAATGGCACGAACTCGACAAACGACACTATCACTGTGACCGGCAGCTCGGAGCCATTGGGCAGGTCTCCGGAAGCTGGTGCCATCCAGTCTTGAAGCTGTCGGTTTAGGATTTGGGGCCCAGGGGCTACCCCGAAAGCCGAGGTACGTCTGTAACTTCCACGACTTTGTCGACCTATACAACTTCAAGCACCTCGGCGACCTCATGATGTTGCTTTGAGCCGGTTCAGATCGCCGGAAGACAGTATTTCCAAGGCATCCAAAGTTTTAAGCCCAAGAAAACAAGTCTTTCAAGGATCGTCTTCAAATTCCGTGTCGCTAGCATCGACGAGAAGCACAAGCATGTCGGTTTAGGATTTCGGGCTCGGGTCGGGGGCTACCCTGAAAGCCGAGGTACGTCTGTGTCGATCTCTACAACTTCAAGCACCTCAGTGACCTCCATGCTCTCTACGAGCGCCACTTCGACCAGGTCCTCTACGACCAGCCGCTCGTCTCTTTCTGACCCTATGCATCATCGTCTTCTTCAGACAGTGTTGCGTAGCTTTAGGCTTGTGATTTGTTGGACTGTTAATGCCATAATCTTGTCTGCAAGCGCAACAGAGTGATTTGGAGCTGCTAGGGATGATAGAGGGAGGTGCCCATTCTTTAAGGAGCAG